GCGGAAGAGTCTCACCTTTGGCTCGCCTGCCTGTCCCAGAATTAGCCATATGTAATGGCAGCTACCGCGGTGCCCTAAAGGGGAGTTGTCAGAATGGGATGGGAAAACAAAGGCTGCAAATTCCTCAGCTTCTAAGCCCCAAAACCGCAGGTCCAGGCGTGGAGCAGAGAGAATCAGGAGGCAGAACCGGTTTTATTTCTCTGATGATGCACGCGTTGAAGAGAGTCTCACCTTTGGCTCGCCTGCCTGTCCCAGAATTAGCCATATGTAATGGCAGCTACCGCGGTGCCCTAAGAAGGAGTTGTCAGAATGGGATGGGAAAACAAAGGCTGCAAATTCCTCAGCTTCTAAGCCCCAAAGCCCCAGGTCCAGGCGTGGAGCAGGGAGAATCAGGAGGCAGAACCGGTTTTATTTCTCTGATGATGCGGCCGCGTCGAAGTGCCATTTGGGAAAACACAGCTGAGTTAAGTATCTGCAGAGTTTGCAGCCTGGCAATTCCCCTCCCTTTGAGGAAGTGGCTGAAGAAGGTCTCACCCTCTCCCCGCTGCCCCTGGGCACAAGGATGCCCATCACAGTGGCGGTGGTGGCGGCAGGGTCCAAGGCAACCCTGGGGAGTAGAAGGTGCTTGCTTGCCCCTGGGTGTCCAGCGCCAGGATTCCGCAGCCGTGGCAAGCGACACACTAGGCTGTGCGCCGAGCGACAAGAATGGATCTGGGTGAAAAAAGGCAGAAACGGAGTGAGACCTACGACCCAATACTATTGACATAAGTTTAACGTTTTCAAACGAAAATATGCAGTGTGTACGAACACCTACGAACAAAAAGACACACAACAAATGATAAGACTAACGGTGTGAACCGGGCCGTTAAGGGTGCCACTGAGGTCAGGCTGCCCGAGTGTGAATACATGAATTAATCGTTAAGCTCTGTCACTTCATTATTGGGTGACCTCAGGCAAATTAAGCAACTTCTCTGTGCCTCTGGTGCCTTGTCCATAAAATGGGATGCCTTGAGTCCTGACATTATAGGCTGTCCCAAGGATTAAAAACTGAAATGTGTGAAGAGTTTAGAACAGTACACAGCAAACGCTGTCCAGCTGCTGGCTATTCGTATGAGTTTTACGAACTGAAAACTATGATCTGTTTGATCTTCTGCACCTGAGGTTATTGAAAATGGAAAGGAAAGGGGGAGCCCACCGAGCTTGGGAGGGGAGAGACAGTCAAGAAAGAGGAAATAATAGATTTGGATGTGAACGTGGGGATTTCTGTGTCCCGCCGAGGGAGAGGGGACGTGAAGATGCCTGTGTTAGTCAGGATGGGCCAGGTTATGCTGCTGTAACAGACAGTCCCAATATCTCAGTGGCTTAAACAACAAATTTATTTTTTGTTCGTGTCATTAAGATTGGCCCGTCAGGACTCTGGCAGAGAGGGAAAAAAGAAGAAACCCCACAGTCATTCTTAAATGATTCTATTCACATGTGACACCTGCTCGCTGGCCGCATTGAGTCACATGCGACTGGGGAAGATGATCCTTCACACATTCAGAAGGACCAAGAGTCGGAATATTTGTGAGGGGCTTAAATGACCGACTTGAAGGTTTCATTAAACTTAGGGGCCTGAGAGCTGAGCCCGCCTGTTCCTCGAGCCTGGGGCTGGCTCGGAGAGAAGACAAGTCCCTCAGAGAAGTTCCCTCATGCCATCATGGTGGGGGCGATGCAACAGTCACCTACGGCTGTGTAACAAATAGCTCTGAAACACAGTGCCTGAGAACAACAAGGGTTTGTTACCTCTCGCTTTCCGTGGGTCAGGAATCAGAAAGTGACTTAGCTGGACAGTTCTGGCTCAGAGTCTCATGATGTCAGCTGGGCAGCGGTCATCGGAAGGCGAGACTGGGGCTGGAGAACCTGATTCCAGCGTGGCACCCTGGCAGGCGGCACTGGCTCTTGGCAGAAGCCCCAAGTCCTTGCCGTTTGGGCCTCTTCACAGGCTCCTTAAAGGTCCGCAAGATGTAGCGGCGGCTTCCCCAGAGTAAACATTCCAAGAGAAGGCCAGCAGGAAGGAGCCACGTCCTTGGGACCTGACCTCGGAGGCCACACGCCATCGCTTCCAGCAGATTTTACCCGTTAAGAGCAAGCCATCGAGTCTGGCTCACATTCAAAGGAAGGGAGAGTTAGTTTCCACCTTTTTAAGGCAAGAGGGTCAAAGAATTTGGATGAAACCACTGCCCACAGCCATGCGGTGGAATGGTGGCGTGTGCGTTTGGCCACCCGAAGCCAGCAGCCATGTCCTATTGTCTCAGGAGCATTATGGGAAATGTGGTGGAGACTGCCAGCTGCCCCCCAAATCTGGTCTCCCCCTTGAGCATGTGTTAATTCAAGTAATTCTCACGACCCCATGAGGTAAGCTAACAACACCTAACATTTATCGAGCCCTTACTATATGTCCTAAGCGCTTTACACGCGTCAACTCATTTAACCTCACAACAGCTCCGTGGGGCAGGGACTGGTTTGACCCCCATTGATAAGCAGGGACACGGTGCACGAGAGATGTCAGGTAACTCATCTGAGGTGGCACAGCTGGTTATTGGCGAGCCGGGATCTGAACCCAGACAGTCTGGCTGCCAAGTTCATACTCTTGGCCACTACGCTATGTTATGAAGAGGTGGCCTAATGTTTTATGCATGCATTGCCACTGTCAAAAGTTGTGCCCGGGGACCTTGTGAAGTAATCGACTTAAAGGGGTGAGTCGCCGAACGGCTTGGCACATTTAATCCACACACCATTGTTTTCATCCCCATTTGACAGATGTGGAAACTGACGCTTGGCGGGGTCAGGCCACCTGCTCTGGGTCACGTGGGTAGAGACAGAAGCAGGAGTGTGGGTGGGGGGCAGGCAAGGTGAGGTCTGGCCCGGAGCCCTGCTGGGTGACCCCAACGGGCCTATTTGGCGTTGGCGTGAGGCAGGGGCGCAGGATGCCAGGGAGAAGGTTGCAGAGCGTTGGTTTGTGGCCCAGGGAGGTGGCGGGATTAGAGGAGGTGACCGCAGCGCCGGCGGGGGGGGGGCGGGGCGGGGCGGGGCCTGTTCTCAGCTCCCTCCCAGGGCCACGCCGCGTGGCTGCGGGAACAGTGGCCTGTCCTCACGCACTGCCGTGGGAGGACGCGGCGGGGCGGCCCCTCTGCAAAACTGTCGGTAGAGTCTCAGGAAGCTGCCATACGCACACCCCTGCTCCGTGTGTACCCCGGAGGGACAGCAGTACATGTCTCCAGGGGACACGGACGCAGACAACCACGCCCACGCTGAAAACGACCCAAACGTCCATGGACGCGACACTCGCTGGATAAACCACATTTTTTTGTTTTGTTTTGTTTTTTTGGTAGATTAGTAAAAGTGCAGTCCTATTTTCGTGTCCCTTTATCCAAAGCTAATAGGTGCTTTGCTGAGTTTTCTCATCCCTGAGTGTCAAATTCATGCGTTGCAGCTTGACAGTTTTTAAAAATATTTTCGGTATTCTTAAACGGTGAACCCTCTTAACACCGACGACGTGCGGGATCCCCAGCACCGGGCCTGCACTGACACTGACCCTTCTCTTCGTGTCCCTCACGGGGACACAAGCTTCCTGTCGTCGCTCTGCCTCACAGCGTTCCTTGGGTATGTCATGTCCTGTAGACGCCACCTTCGTGCGGACGG